CACATTGGTTGTTACCACAGTCTGGGCTGTTCTTTCCCAGATTTCAATATATCCATCATGTGGGCTTTATGCCAAAAACACCTTTCTAGACCCAGAGATGCCTTCCTTAATGTTCCGGCCATTATCAAATCTCATGTTCTACTGTCTCCATAGAGAGGCTCAAAATGATACAAAACATTGGCCTAAGAATTGCCTTACAGCCAAAATGTGTAGCCAGAGAACTGTGGCACTCCTATCACTGTCTACAAGGTTTCACTCATAAAAGGCATGCTCAAATTTCAGTGCATGCTCAAATTTCATAGGCCAAAACAGAAAATGGGGGTGAGACTCTAACAAGGAAAAAGTAATAGGATAATAATGGATACAATTAAGGAATCATGGATCCCAGAAGCACAGTAAAGACAATAAGAGTATTCAAGGAATTATTTTTAAAAATCATTTTTTTGGCTGTAAGTAAGATGAGTCCATAGTGTTAATTCATATAGGCTGGGGCTACAAGAGTAAAAGAAGAGTGCACCACTGACACATATCACAAAAATGTTGAGGCAGTATTGATATTGAAGAGAGAGAAGATAAACTATATTGATTTTCTTATTAGAATGTAGGGGGGCAAGGGTATGCGAGAAGGTAGTGGTGCTGTTTATATCAACAAAGAAGTTAGAAAGGATAACATACAGAAAAAACCATTTAAAAAATTTTTAATTAATTTTTGTAATATTGGGCTGATGCATAAGCTCATAGCGTTTTTCTGCTTTCCCATGGAATGCAAATACTGCATGATGGTTGAGTCACCTTTGCCAGCTCTCAGGTTGATTTACATAGATCATCATGAGTTAAAGCATTTAAACAGTCTTCATCCAGGCCCGATGGTCTTCCTGAACCTGGAGAATCACTTAGGTCAAAGTGGCCCTCTTTGAAATGACAAAACCATTTTCTTGCCATGTTTTCCCTGATGGCATTCTCACCATACATGGCACAAATGTTTCCAGCTACTTCCACTGCCTTTACTCCTCTGTTAAACTCAAACAGAAGAATATGTCAGAAGTGTTCGTTTTTTTCCCACTTGACACGTCATCTTCTTTAGCCTACAAATAGCATTAAATTTCTTCAAATCTGCAAAATGCAAGGTGTATTCACAGCACAGCATTGTCACTCCAAATGACAAACAATGAACAAACTCCCAACCCCACAGTGTTGCCATGCCCAAAACAAATGCTACAAACTTATGCATCAACCTAATATTTCACTTTAGGTTTGGGTCCAAAATAAATCTAGTATCTAGAGCCAGTAAGAGATAAAACTAGAATTGGAGTAAAATTTCAAGAGTGGCAATATAAAGTTGGGATTTATTCCCACACAGAGGGTGGTTAAATGGCATCTGCATTCAACACAGTTGCTGGCCCCCTACCAGAAGCAGAGTATGTGTAGCTCAGAAGAGTCAGAGGCAATCTTTCACCATTTGCAAGGAAAGTGCATTAATCAACAAGCTATCTTTTATGTCAGAGGTCAGCAAAACCTGTGACCAAATTCAAACTGCCATCTATTTTTGTATGGTTGAGAAGCTAGCAATTTTACATTTTTTAAATAGTTGGAGAAAGACAAAAGAATAATATATCGTGACATATGACAACTATGAAGTTCACATTTAAGTGTTTATAAAGTCTTTGCAACGTAGCCATGCCCATTTATTTACATGCTGCATAGAGCTGCTTTTGTGGGACAGCAAATTTAAGTAACTGTGACTGAGACTAGTTAGACCACAAAATCTAAAATATTTACTTCTAGCCCTTTACAAAAAAAGTTTGCTGACACTTCTCAAAAAACAGACACAGGAAAGAAGGTTTTGGGCTGAGTCACAACTAAACCAGCAAGAAGGGAGCTGGTAGAAGAGAATCAAATTTAAGCTGCTGTGCACCAGGAGGGCATGCCCCCCACAGACACTGAGGTCATAAGACCCAAGGAAGAGTTAGTTGGCAAAGCCATTCGAGAAAATTATTAAAGAAACTATTCTGCATCTTAAACGGGGATATGCATTTATCCAGGGATAAGTGATTATGTGCCAAGGAGTATGTAAAACCCAGGACCAAACAAACATGGAACATTTTGAGGTGTGATTTCTGGGGGATACTGGAGATAAGGGGAATAGTTTTGTATTTAAAAATAGCCATTTTATTGAGTAGAATGCAAAATCTCCATGAATTTTTAAGTTAAAATTGGGATTAAAATGAGGAGGCCTCAGGTTATAATTTGAGCTATAAATTAGCTTTTCCCTGCCTTTAATGATACTTTAGTGGAAAGGTTCAAATAATACTGCATGGAATGCCCCAGAGTGTTTCTTGATGATGACAACTGCCACTCTCTGGGGCATTAACTTGAACCTGGGAAGCAAAATGTGACTCCTGTCAACTCCAATCTATTGATGATTTTTCCTCAGAACACCTTTGTTGGGATTGAGTCTACTTGTGTTGCTCAGAGGTCAAAAGTGTGATTAACAATGTCTGCTAGAGTTGGAGGGGATGGCACATGGCAATTTGCTTCAATAATTTATCATAGATGAATACAGAAATCTGTCTAAAACGTTGTTCACATTTTTAGACTGTTCAACCACTCAATCAGATTTAATATGTTGACCATCTACTTTCAACACCACGTTTGCCCTTAAATTTCTTTTTTCATGATTCTGAAGGTATTAACTAATATAGTGAGCATGTTCAAGTTTACTCTCAAGGAACCTTAAAGATTTTATAACAATCATCTCAATCCACTCATTCTTCTGTTTATTCCCATAGGATATATGGGTGAAAAGGACATTAAAAGGGCACTATATTCCATGTGAAAAATTTTAAGATTTTATTCTGTCAGGGTTAGGGAATAAACAAGAAAATACCAAAAAAAAATGTAAATAGAAAAATAAGTGGTAGAAATATAAAGGCATAATTAAAGTGTATGAAGCTGGGTGCAAGAATAATACTTCAGAATAATGGAACAGTCCAGAAGAGAAAGAGGATGCCTAAGACAAAGAAAGCAAAGAGCTGGAGAGAAATTCAAGAGACAGTTCCAAGGCAGACTCATTATAACTTATTAACTGATTAGATGTAGGGAATAATGAAAGTAAAAGATAAATACAGGAGTCTTCGTTTAACCAAGCAGGAAGGGGAGCAATTTGAGGGAGATATTGGTGATTATGCTGACCATTTGCCTGTTTGTTCGTAGATCTACCCTCTGCCCTTCCCTCCCACTCCTCCGCATCACAGAGAACTACATTACCCAGACTCCCTGGCCCACGGTATTCTGGGCAGGATTGGGCAAAGGCAGGCAGTAGTGGAAGAGAAAGGTTGGAAGGTAGGGGAGGTTGGGTTATTGCTTCTTCTATATTGCTTCTTCTATCAATTTGCCTCACAGCGACCAGATCATCCCCAAGATGTCAGATCCTACCAGACTAGCTTTCTGTCCTTGGTTCCAACTTCCTCTGTAGTTATAGCTTTAGCCTCAGCTGTAGTTCTAAATCTAGCTAGGTGGCCTTCACTTCTGGATTCTGGAAACTCCTTTTCCTTTTCTCTCTCTTGTGTTAGGGGTAATAGTACTTCCTGCTGTTGCTAATCTCTGGGTTGTCTCGCCAACCCATTTTGGCTTCTTGTGTCTTTTGTCAATTGTATAACCAATTCCCAGCATTCAATTCCCTATTTGAAATACTGCAACTAGTTTATTTCCTTGCATGAACCTCGATTGATACAGTAGTGAAGTCAGTTTGCATATGTGTGCATCTGTATATCTATTGCTTATAACAAGGAGACTCAGAAAGCAAGTAGATATAAATCAATTCTCTTCCCATAATTAAAAAAGTATCAAATAATGTCCAGGCATAAAGCAATAGACTGAAGGGTACTGGCACTATCATAAATATATTCTATTTTGTTAAGAGACATCATTTTTTAAAAAAGTTTTTGTAGAGACAGCATCTTGCTGTATTGCTTAGGCAGTCTTGAATTCCTGGCCTCAAGTGATGCTCCTGCCTCAATCCTAATCCTAACCCTAACCCTAACCCAATGAAAGCCATCATAATAGGCAACGGCTTGTGTAGTACTTATTATATACTATGCTGCACCGATCATACCTCATATTTTTTAATTCAATCTTTAAAACACAATCTTACACATATTTTATTTGGTCCTTAAAACATAGCCTTAGAGGCAGATATATTGTAATCCCCATTTCACAGATAAGAAAACTGAGATTTGGAGAGATTAATTTGCCCCAGGCCACCCTAAATCTAGATTGGAACTCAAGCAATCTGGTTCTAAAAATCCCCACTCTTAACGACTGCACTGTAGCTTAACTTAATTAGTGCCCTAGACATAGTTACTAACACAGGTTTTTTGTTTTTGTTTTTTGTTGTTTTTTTTTGAGTTGCCATCTCACTCTGTCGCCCAGACTGGAGTGCAGTGGTCACTCCCGGCCACCACAGCCTCGACCTGCTGGGCTCCGGGGATCCTTCCGCCTCAGCCTTCCGAGAACCGGAATTACAGGCATGCGCTACCACGCCCGGCTGATTTGTTTGTTTGTTTGTTTTGAGTTGGATAACACAGGTTTTTTAAAAAATGTTTTTAAGCCTGGCTCGGTGGCTCAGCCTGTAATCCCAGCGCTTTGGGAGACTGAGGTGAGTGGATTGCCTGAGCCCGCAGGTTCGAGACCCGCCTGGGCAACTTGGCGAGCCCTCATCTCTACAATAAATAAAAAATTAGCCGGTTGTGGTAGTGCGCGCCTGTAGTTCCAGCTACTTGGAAGGCTGAGGTGGAAGGATCGCGGAGCCCAGCAGGTCGAGGTTGCGGTGGCGGGGAGCGACCACTGCACTCCAGTCTGGGTGACAGAGTGAGATGGCAGCTCAAAAAAAAAAAAAAAGGTTTTAAGAACTATTATTTAGGGTAGATTTGTTAAAGTACTGCTTCTTTTCCTAAATATATCTGTAAAATATAAGTCAAGTAATAAATCTCTACAAAAAATAAATTTGAAGTTTTTAATGCACAAAAAGTACATCCCAGCAACAGAACAGGAATTGACAAATTAACAATGAGACTATATAAAGGAGACTCCTCCCCTCTTAGTAAATGGGAATATAGTGTAAATAGACATGAAAGGAGGAAACACTTTAGGAGAAAATGCAAACCCTAAAGTTGTATACGACATTCATATATGGCTTATTATCTCACAGCAATAATATCTTCATAATGATGTATATGACACTTAACCTCATTGGTAAGATGTTTTTGACTCAAAAGTTAAACAAAAATGCTGAAGAGGTAGTTTTGCCAATGCAAGGTGAAAAAAAGGCCTTACCTTGCTTTGGTTGTTTCTTCAGAGATATGCAATCGTTCCTTTTTTTTTTGTTCTAATTTTCTCCTGGATCAGCCAGGAAGATAATGTTTTTAGAAAAATCCAATCCAAATCCTCTAAAAACCATTTCCCCCAGAAAAAACTGCTCTGAAAGCCACCTGGGAAGTTTCCATCATTTTCTTTTGGATAGGAAACAGATTCTGGCTGAATGGAGACCTGTTAGGATCTGGCCAGCAGTTGTACAAATTCATCTTGTTTTATCTTCAAATTCTATACATAGGCTCATGATGGTAACTTCTTCAGTGACTCAAGAATATTGACAGATAGCCTGTCATTAAAAGTCAGGGATTGCTTTATAGTTAAAAAAAAAAAAAAAAGTTGAAGTCAGAAACAAAAGTTTAAAAAAATCTGTAGCTGGCCTGTGACATGGCATGATAAATACTACAAGCAACTAGAAGAAATTCCCCATGTTTTCAGTTGTGTTTCATAAAGTCATCACATCTTAAATTCAAAGAGAGTATTGACTTCTGATAGCCAGATGCCACATGCTGCATTATCTGTGTTGGGGGAACACATGGAGTGGGGAAAGTCTGGTGATATCCAAACTCTTTGACACTGGTCATTCAATTCTATATACAAAAACTAGTTAGTCCTATCCTTACAATGAGAAATAAGCCCACACACACAAAAAAATAGTTTCAAGAAGCAACAAAACATTTGTCAATTCGCAAAACTAGAACAATCATTTTCGGGACAATGGTTAGGAACCACTAGAAACAAAGTGACATCATATTTGTCAGGTATGACGTGTTATGCACAAGAAAGCATAAATATACAGTAAATAAGAGCTTTATATGTAGCCCCAGCAGAATATGTACATATCAGGGCTGCCGTGAAACTGAGCAGGAGTTTCCGGAGCATATTCCCAGCTAAAAGCAGTTTCATCAGACTATGGTGTGAAGGCAACAGATGCTGAGAACACCATGTGGTAACATGAAGCAGAGAGCCACATACATTTATCCTTGAAAATGCACAATGCGAGAAATAAAGGTCACAAGTGAGTTGCGCTTTGCCTGAGAGCATCTTCTTTCACATAAATAGGCACAAGTTTGTTCTGCAGGGGTGGTTTGCAGCCTCACACCTCTTTTGTGTCCATGGCACCAGAGACAGGTTCTCCCAGAACACACCGAGCCAAGTCACAGGCCAAGCACTGACTCCTGCCTTCACAGTCTCCAGATTCAAATCAAAGCATAAATAACAGAGGACACACTTGTGGCTCTTCCTTTCACCAGGTTACTGGGAATAGAACTGGTCAGAGCAGCTCAAATCCTGCACACCAGTGTGGAGTGGAGAGTAGCTTTGTGCACTTTTGCAAAAAACAAAAACCCCCAAAAATCTACTAGGTGTGTCTTTTATTTTATTGATTAGCTCTGTCTGTAGCTAGGAAAACACTATGTTGCTCTTGGGCTCGTTCTATAAGCTTCCTCTTCTTTTTCTTGTTCTTCTTCTCCTTTGCCTTTGGTGTTCTCTTCCCTACAAGGGGGAAAAGAGAGAGAAAAATGAAGACAAGTCAGAAAAGGCTCTTTCTCTAGGAAAGAAAACGCAAAAACATAGAGAGTTTTGCACAAAGCCCATCTGGAAAACATCACCTATGGAAAAAGCAGCCTCAAAGAGAAAATTGTTCACATTAATTTTGACGGAATAATAATAATTTACTAAATTGGATATGCTGTCTAAAACAGAGACTGATCTTCCTGTTACAGGGAACTGGCATATTTAAAAACCTCCCAGCGGCCTGATCAGTCTTTCAAATATCATCCTGCCACAAAAATTCCATTTATCCCCTCCCACTTTTAACAATGCTACCCTTTACTAGACATCTTTACATCTTTCTACTGCTCCACATGCCAGTGGGTCAAAAGAAAATAAGCATCCATCTACAGTAAATATACCAGAAGTTTCAAACTCCCCTCTCACTGCCCCATGGGGTGGAGGAAGCCTTGCTTTTAACATTATTCCCTCCGTGTTCTCCAAATGCCAATATATAAAATGACATATGTGCAATACTTTTTATTTTCTATAAAAATTCACGAGGACATCATTCATTATGTGCCTGATATAGGCTTCTTATCCAAATCCCCTGGACAAGCTGTTCTTACAACGAATGCAGAGCAAGAGGAATGCTTGTTTGTTCTGATGAACTGGTGGTAAGTGTCTTACTACCAGAAAATCACCCCAAGTTATCCTATTTCTCCTCTTTGCCTTAGCCACTAGGAAGCCCAGACCACAAGCTAAACCGTTGAGGTTTTCTTCCATCAGGAGTTTTGGATACAGTCTTTTATTTGCCTCTGCTGTATTTTACTTCTTCCATCTTGCAGTTATGATTTTATAGTCTTACTTTATAAGGTATCAGCATTTCCTTGCAAGTATGTATACATAATATTTTTTAAAAATAAGGAACATAAGGCATTTGTTTTTAGTCCATTGCCCTTTTGGGGATCTAAACACATAGGAATTATGGTATTTCTAGAGCAGAAAAAGATTTAAAGAAAGTCTTATTTTACAGAAAGTAAGTCACTCTATGCATTTTTAATACAGGAAGATTTTTCCTTAATGAACAAGAAAGAATTTTGTTGGCTGTACTTTTTCTCCTACTTGCCGTACTTCCTATTTTATCTTACAGTCTCACAAACCTTAAATTTTCTCTTCCTGTAAGGTGTAGGTATTAGACAGTAATCACTACTATAGATAGGACACTTGTTCGTGCTCTCCATTCTTCCCACAGCCATAAAAGAAAATCAATGTCCCAGACTTTTTCATTACAGAGATGTGGCTTGCTTACCTTTTCAATCCAGACAATGGAGAAGTTGGCTAATGTTAAAAAAAAATTTTTTTTAAAACCCAATAGACCAGAGACTAAGGGAAGTCATGAGATTTCTAAATAAGGGAGGTATTTCTCATTTATGTTCTTTAAGATCAGAAAGAGTCTGTTTTGTTTGAGGATGGAAAACAGGCTCACTCTTCGGGACCCTAGCACAGTGATTGGCACTTAGTCGATAATAAACAAATGTGAGCTGAGCAAAACTTTTATCACAAGGAAAAAAAGATTAAAAAGAATAGTTTTTAATAGGACACTATGCTAAAACAATGAGAACATGATCTCCCCCCATATTAAATTATAAAGGTCCTTGAAGTTAACTTCTGGTTCTCATTAAATTCTGGCATTAATGTTATAATGGCATTTTGCCATCTTTAAACATAGTTAATCCTACCCAATGAAACCTTAGTTCGAGCCATCGTTAATCAAAGCAGCTGTAAAGTTACAACTATTTAGGAACATTATCTCTAATGATGAGACACACCTAATGAAAGCAGAGAAATGAAATACTTAACACAAAATAGCATATTTTAAAACCTTTAATTATAAGATTGTAAAGAATTTTTTCTTAGTTCTATATTTTCTTTAAACAACAAAAATCCTTAGCTTAAAAGTCATTGCTGATCACATTTTAAAAACTCATTTTCTTTATGTTTAATTGATATAAAGCCTGGAGTTTCTTTTAAAAGCAAATTGAAATTAAGTGAATGGAAAAATAAAGCTAACATTACTGGTTTTAAAAATGTGTTCTGCTAGAATAAAAATATACTGAATGTGTTATTTAAAGGAAGCCTTTCACCTTCACAATTTCAGTTCTTTGCATGCATGATAGTTGGAAGTTAAACATATACTACTTTCCCTAACAACAAATCCATGAAAAATAACTGGAAATGCTTGTTTTAAGATGGCCAATTTCATGTCATTTACCCAATATATTATTCTGATGTAATTGTCAATATTAAATGGTTTTTTGGGTTTGCTGGCTGATATGATATTGTGTAATCAGGAAGTTACTCAATACTTGCATAAAACAGTTGGCATCCACCAAAAACTCAGCAATGCTTCTGAAAACTTATGTATATAAAATAATTTTTCAAATTGTACAAAATTTCCTTTGGCACTACATTATGTGGTAGCAGTTCCAACTAGCAATGCTTTGAGGGTTCTAATTAAACTCTAAAGATCTTCCTCAGATGTCTCCTTCGAATGGCACCTCTTTGCTATTGTTTGGTTGGTTGGTTTTGTTTTTGGCCAGTCCCACTTCTTACATAGGATATATTGCAAACACCAAGGAATTAAGATGGTTAGCCAAGATTTGACCACAGACAGGCCTAAATTAACTGAAAATATGTTGTGGTCTGTACGTTGTTCTGACTTTAAACCCAACTCAAAGTAATAAAAGAATAATAAAATGTAGCATAAGGTATAAAAAGCGTTTTGCTATATATTTTATTCTCTCTGTTCTAAGATTTTCAAACATGAGAAAATAAATTTAATCAGAAAGATTAAAACTAACAAAAAAATAAATACCTGTTCTTATCTATATATTTGAAATAAGATTTTTTTAGACATACAAGAGTATTGATTTCTGTTTTCACTTAATTTCTTCACATCTATGGATATGAGATTAGACTTGAATAATGACTTCTAGATTGTTGTACATTCTCCAGTGCATTCATGCTGTTATAGGAGATATTTAAAGTATCAGTCACCCAAAGAGAAATTCAATTCATGAATTTAACTTCTCCCTCCCTCCCTCCCTCCCTCTCTCTCTCACTCCTTCATCACTTCCACATGGAGCAGAATGCTTTTTTAAAAGTTTTAGTTCAACAGCTTTAAGGGTATGAATGGTTTTTGGTTATGTGGAAGCACCATACAGTGGTGAAAAAGTCTGGACTTTATGTGCACCCATCACCCCCACTAGTACACATTTTACCTAATAGGTGATTTTTCATCCTTCACCCTCTCCCCTTTCTGAGTCTCCAAAGTGCGTTATAACATTCTATATGCCTTTGCAGACCCAAGCTTAGCTCCCATTTATAAGGGAGAACATGTGATGTTTGGTTTTCTGTTCTTGCGTTACTTCACTTTGTATAATGGTCTTCAATTCCATCCAAGTTGCTATGACTTTAACTTTCTTATTTTTTAGTTCATAAGAAAAGACTGGGAATATATACTGTCCAAGATTAGAAATAAAAAGTTTTAACTTTTTGAAGAGACTGTCAAACTCTAGCATATCTAACTTGAAGGCAAATTGTGCATATCTTTATTTGGAATAGTGAATTATTTTGGGTTAGACAGAATCGGGTCTACAGAGCAGATCTTTTACACCACTATTATGTGCATGCAAGAAGACTGGTCCAGATATTACCATTTTTAATGAAGGCAATGTAGCTTAGAGAAAGGCTATCTCTGGGAAGAAGGAAATCTGGTAGCTAGGCAAGGTTTTGTAAACAAGACATCTGCTAAAGCATATACAGAATGAAAAAGCTAGAGTCATCTTCCACTAGAAAGTTATGAGACACCATGTGAAAAAGTCATGGTCTTAGAATGAAAGGAAGATGTGTAAAATATCACTGATGAGACAAGATTATCCTGAAAATGAACAGAGTTAGAAAGTTACTATCAAAGCCACATTTTAACCAATGTAATTACATTGACTTTCGCACATGTGGAAATGGTCCAAGAGCATAACCTATCAACTCTTCCACAGAGAAAGATGAACAATTCCTTATGGAAATACTCCTTCCATCCAGCTGTGGATTGCTGCTATTAGAATCAGAAATAGGGTAGATTATTTTGAACCAAGATATCAGACAGACTCACAAATTACATGAAGCTGTGAAAATATCAACTCTACTGCCAGTCAAATACTAACTTCATTCTTTCTTAAGCTCTCACATTCAAGGAAGATCTTCAAATGTTTTTTCCCCTCAGTAGGTTCAGGTAAGTGTCTGTATCACTGAAACAATGGTTCTTATATATCCAACAGGAAAGCAGAGAGGCTGTCCAGAGTTTCCATAATGATTACTAAGGGTTTTGAGAAAGACTTTCTAAGGGTAAATACAAAGGAGAAAAATTTCAGTAGTTCTGGCTATAAAAAGATAAAGCTTTTATTCTCTTATATATGTATGCAAATATACACACATAAATTGGGAAAAAGTAAGCCAAAATTATGGTAAATATAATTTACCATAATTATTGTACTTGTAGCCACAACTATGACAAAACCAGGACTGATTTTCACTAAATATTGATAAGTTTGTGATGTTCTGAATTGAAATCTAGGCTGCGCTGCATTATGAAATTCCCCATGGAGTCTTGAGGAGTATTTCAAGGAGATGTCATTTTTGAAAGCTACTAAAACTTGGGGACAAGAGACCTGTGTAGCCACTGACTTGGCAAATATAGTCATACTTCAGAGAATACTTTGGAAGCAGAACATAATGTTGCTTCCACATCTAAAGTCACAAGGACTGAGTTGTAGACAATGAATAGTAGTTGGGACATTTCTTTTTTTCATATGAGCAACTTGAGTTTGCCCAAAAGTGAGTAGCAACAGAGATTTATTTTATTTAAGAGTGATAAATGATTCTCTGGAAAAATGCCAACTGGCTCCTAAAATATTTTAAAAGCTCATATAAAAATTGACAAG